TAATTAAAATGGAAATTTTTGTTATATATATTTTGTTGCTAAAGTAAAATAATTTTTTAAAAAGAAAAAACAGTAAAACATGAGGAGGTATGAAAATTAAATATAATGCTCTTTATATAGCATTCCATTAAAGCCAAGACCTGAATTCAGAGACATATTTTTAATTTATTTCGATCAAAGCAACCTAGGGTTAAACAGTAGAAGCCTGGCCTGCTCCTAAAAGATTTTGTTAAAGAGGTTCAGGGACTCAAAATATGGTTTGCTCCATTAAACAGGTATTTAACATGAATTTAAGCACATGCATTGAACATTCTGGTTTTGTAAATTCTCCTTGACTAAACCTAAATTATGCCCTGATTATAGCTACTACTGCATCTTCCCCCCTTCCTGCAGATAGTTGATAACATCATTTCTTAGGAATTACTGCTTTCATGTTTACTGGCAATTTTCTTTGTTTTTCTTTTTGTGTATTTGGGGTAGGGATTGAACTCAGAGATGTACATGCTAAGAGTGAGTCTACCACAGAATTAAATCCCACTCCTGGTAGTGCTTATACAGTATACCACCAGGTGAGGCCAAGGGAAAGGGAAATGTACTCAATAGTTCTTCCAAATTAAAAAAAAAGAGCTGATATCTCTTTGGAATAATTTTGACATATTGTGACTAGAAGTCTGAATTTATTAGAATGTGGAATTTAAAGCATTTATTCTATAGATTTTCTGTGACTAAGCTTAAAAAATTTACTGTGGCTGGTTGTAACATTTTTTTAAACATCTAATTTGAATTTGGTATGCATTTGTAGTCTGTAAGAATATTTGAGGGTTAGATAAGAAATTGTGCTTCTCTATTCATGAAATCTATGTTTTCTAAATTAACTCTTTGTTGGCTTTCTTGGATTTTTATACATATCTGAAAATATTAAAATTCATTAAGATATCTTTTTCCATTCCAAATTCTACTCGCCATCTGGTGGTCCACATAAGTTTGTTTTCCTGCATTCACAACTGCTGTGAGCTGTGGTTCTTCATGTTTAATAACTTACTGAAGGTTTAGGAACCTAACAAAAAAGCAGTCACTTACCCTTGGTGTCGAGACATTTTGTTCCCTTGAGTCCTACTTTCATAATTTTGCCTCAACATTTCTCTGTGTTATTTTGTAGCAAAGCCACGTCTCTGCGTTTTCTCTGTGCTTCACATTCTTGCTCAGAAAAGGTAAAAAGATTTTATTATTCAGTAAATCATTTATAAGTGTGCTAGATGAGCATCCGCCTAAGGTGTAAGAGTACACTGGACGTGATGTGGGTGAATATGTAAGTTCTTGGAGATGTGTGCATAGCCATGCAGCTCTGTGAACTTTCTACGAAGAAATGAGAGCCAGAAAAAAAATAAAATGCAGGGTGGTCTGCCTGAGGTAGGTGCCACTTGAAACCAAGTGGTTGCATGATGGTGCTGACATCTATATTTACATATAAACAATGGTGTAACAATGTACTTTTTATACATACATTTAATTCTGGGTACATTTTAACGTGTCACAAGCATATATATTCATCAACAGCTTCACCATTAAAAAATTCTGAGTGTTTTGTTTGGAAGGCTTAGGCTTAACTTTTAGTGTGTTGCTGGGTGGGGTCTGGAAATGATGTAATTCTTCCAGACTTAGCCTGTTTCTCATGGCCGTGTTGAACTTCAAAGGAGTCTTGGAAAAATGGTTTTGTGTGCTTATTTGCATCAATAACTTATTCAGTGACCAGAGTTATGCCTGAAGGACATTGTTGTGATGCCAAGACCCAGACCTCTAAGTGGCACTTGGTGGCCAATGACAGCTGTTGTTGCATCTCAGATGGGAAAAATGCCCTTCATGAACAATTTGAGAGATTTAGGCCTCAGTGGCCCACCCTTGTTCTTTTAAGAAAGCAAAGGTAGAAGTCATACGGAGGAAGACATTGTCCCACCCTACACACTTGTCTCCTCACTCCTTCTGCCATTCTCCCTGAGAAATGGAAGCATTAAGCCCCTTGGGTGAAAGACATACTGGAGAACAGGGAAATACCAGCATCGCTACGCTGTGTTCACACATACAGCTTATTCTGAGAATTCTCACGTGTTCGGCATGCAAGCTCCTCGGAACTACATGTGGGGGTTTGTTCTGTGTAATTTCAACAACTGTGTAATATTATAAACATTGTGGATTATCTATGCTTTCATGAAAGTTAAGGTCCTGTTTTTGTACAAATATTAACAAAGCAGTTAAGAAAACACAAGGAAGTAACAAAGAAAATATGACTTGTGGGCAGATGGTTTCTGAAATTATATATTTTTCTGTGAAGCATTAGTTGTTTTGAAAGCATTAATGTTGATCTTTCTTTCAGAGTGTGGGTGTATAATTTAAGGAAAAACACCCTCGTTGCACAATGCAAACTTTACTCTGCTGAATACTTAACTTATAGTGACTTTTTCTTAGAAAGAAAATGTTTCGTCAAACAATATTTTGTCAAATAATTTAAATAACTTTTGTTCTCCAGTCAACAATACTCTTTATAGTATCAAAAGTTTAAGAATGACATCAGTGAATCTCGCACAAAATTTCCATGATGAACAGCACCAGGGAAACGGTATTTTAGGTTTCACTTCTCATTAATCATGCCCATACACTGCACCCAAGGGTTAAGGTGGAGACAGCCAAAGGCTGACTGTCCACCCAGCCCATTGCAGGTGTTCAGCAGTTTATTACAGGTAGAGAGAGGGTGCCTGGAGTGTAAGCATCTTCATAAAATTTCAGACAAGTTAGCATTTCATACCTTATCTCAACAAGAATTCCTGAATGTCTGGGTAGCACATTTCAGAGCTCCATTTGAAGACGTGATGGTAGAAGGTGAAATAGAAAGACATCACAATAGATTTACTGTTACTTTAGCGATAGGGAGTGGTCACTTAGTCCTGAAGCACATCTGTCAAGTTTCATGCCACATGTGTCACCCAACTTATATACATGGAGGGGTTACATCAAAACTTCAATTATTCCATGGGCTGGGGATTTAGCTCAGTGGTTCCACCGCCTGCTTTGCAAGCACAAAGACCCAAGTTATATCTCTGGTACCAAACAAACAGACAAAATACTTCAATTATTCTGAAGGATGAAAGAAATGATCCATTTGGATATAGATCTTCAGCTCCTATTATACTCTAAGCCTTTGAAATGTGAAGGCTGAGCAGACCAAGTTATGAAAAGGACAGGAGGAAGAGGAACAGTGCAAATACAGTCAGAACACACAGTCACTTTCTGCCTGTACCCGTTTATGTGGATAGTCCACTTTCCGGGCAGCAGGTAGTGTGACTGTAAAGAGAGCACACATTTGTCACTAACTATGTAGGGTTTTTGGCACTGTTAGAGCCTAGCATTACAGAGTTAGGGCAGCTAATAAAATGCTGCCAACCAAACTTTTGATATCAGAAAGTTTTTGAAAACAATTTTTCTACCAAGCCTTCTTGGTCCTTCTTTCAGTTCTGCCTTATATAAAATTGTATCACTAAAAAAATTTTTTTTTAAAAAAAGCACTTCTTTACAAGAATCACTTCACAGCAAGCAGGTGAACATCTGGCAGCAAAGTTACACTGAAATGCCATCCTTCCAAGGGAAGAGCAAATACATGTCCCTTCCACGAGGAGCAAATCTCTCTTGGTTGGGGGGCCTCACAGGCTTTCTGTTTATGGACATTTTTTCTCTTTGCAAAATCCCAAGGCTGAACATGGCCCTGCTTTCTCTGTGCTATCTGGAAAATAGTATGTTCCATAACAGTCAAAATGCAGACAATCACACACCAGGTAAATAAGCCAATACGCATAGGTGGTACTTAGAATCTCTCTACTAAGAATTGGAAGTCAGTATAAACTGAACCATAAGCCCATCTATCAGGAACAGAGCAGGTCTAATTTTGACATCAGTTTTCTCCCTTTTTCTTATTATTCAGAAAATACTTAAATCTAAAAAGAAAGGGACCAGATCTTTTAAAGATCAAATATTCTTCAAACTTCTCATGTGTTAAGAAAAAAAAAAAAAAAAAGTCTTAGGGCCAAGTGTTTGGCTCAGTGGTTTTCCCTGCTTGCCTTGCAAGTGCAAGGGCACTTGATTCATGGTACCAAAAAAAAGTCTTATCAGGCAATTAAAGAATTCAAACCTCAGTTTTCTATAATTTTAAAAAATAAGGGGGCCGGGGATTTAGCTTAGTGGTTCTGCCACCTGCCTCGCAAGCACAAGGTCCTGAATTTGGTCCCTGGTACCAAAAAACAAAACAAAACAAAACAAGACAAAACAAAAACAAAAAAGGTGCCTTTCAGAATCATCACTTTTTTTGTTAAAACGCCTCTCCAGAGCCTCTTAATACATTGCAAAGCTCGTAAACAAGGTTGCCCTTTCCAGAGGGCGTGTGCTCTGGGATCTCGCCTGCCTCCTCAGACTCTGGCCAGGCCGGGGTGCCCCACCCAGCTATGCCAGAGGACTGAGGCCTGGGCTTTGCTGAAACGCTACAACCTGACAAGTTTCCGCGGGAGAAACCACGGGGAGCAATCTCTCCGGGAAGTAATTCTCTAGGGGAAGAAACAACACCGAAGCAACACTGAAGATACGTTGCTCAGAAGTTAATGTGGCTCTATTACCAAATTATAGTTCTTCAGGGAACTGCAACTCGCTTTAAATTGGATGTGGGGCGGCTCATCAGACTAAATAGTTTGCGTATGGGACACACCTTAAAAAGAAAAGCACAGACGGCAGAATGTCCTTAATTTTGGGGAGGATGCCTTCCGACTTGGGGAAGGGGGAAGGCATTTCGGCTGTGATGCCGGATCGTGACGCTTCCAGCTCGTCCTCGTGTCTCCTCCGTGCTGCACAGGACCGGATGGATGGCAGGGCCTGCTCTGCCTGCTGCCCACAGCGTGGCCCTCTGGGAGGTGGTCACAGGGTCCGGCCCGCAGCGCCCCTGAGGCTCCTGAGTGTGGATCAGCTCAGCAGGTCAAAAGTCTGCAGACGCCGGGTGGAACAGCAGCAGGCCACAAAGCTTACCTGTGTCCTCCCCTGGCGTAGCCCTACCATGGGCGTCTCTCTCAAGGGGAAGAGTTTGGGGTATGGTATGGTAAACATGGGCTCAGGACCCCGCGGACAGTGCCCCAAGGGGCAGGGCAGCAGCTCCAGACAGGAAGTGCCTGTCTTCAAGGAAGCCCGCTGTGGTGGAGGCAGCACTTGGTCGCTCGGTCCCGTGGCCTCACCTGGGATGGTCACCTGTCGCAGTGGAAAGGAGAGCAGCTTTGCCATCCCCCCACACCTGGATGGGGGCCCCGCGGCCACTGCACCCCACAACCATCATGCAGGTAAGACGGCAGCCCTTTCCGGTGAACGTGGCTATCCGTGTAGTTCTCGAGATCGACCTCGGTCGAGGGGCTGCAATGTGAGACGGTCTCCAGCCACAGAGAGAGCTCGCTGAGGCCGGGCAGCTGGCACAACGCACAGCCCTTGGTGATCCGCGGTGAGGTACTGCGGGGAAAGGCGCAGGTGAAGCCTCTCGGGAAAGTTAGCAGAGACTTGGTCAGAATCCCTGGGTCTGCAGCTCCTTCCAGTCGCGGACCTCCGGAGGCAGGGATTGCAGCTGGTTGTGAGCTAATCCAAGATGACCAATTTCCGGGCAAACAAATGCTAAGGCCTTGTCACTGAGATCCAGACCCTGGAGTTTCACAAGGGACCCAATAGCTTCCGGGACCACAGCTATGTTGTTTGAGGGAAAGTATAGTTCCGCAAGGTTTGGGCGCTTCTGAGCAAGGTTTTCTGGCAAGGTCGTAGGGAGTTCCTTTACATAGAGAGTCTCTTCAAGTACTGCGGTCTTTCACCTCTCACCGATTCCAGTGGGAAAAGGTGCAGGTTTCTATAGTTTAAGAACAAATTCTTGTGCTCTTCAAGCCTTCCCACAGAAATCGTCTTGCAAAGTACGGAAGCCATGAATGATGGACATATTCCGTCAGGCCTTCTGGAGCGCTATATCTTATCTTAGCAAAACCCGTCCATTGTTGGGCACTGGGCCCAGCCGGCGCTGGACAGGCAATCAGGAGCGTCAAATAATGTTTTATGGGACGATTGTTTGAAGACTGACAGAAATTTTGAGAGAATTATCCAGAACAGAATACAACACATTTTATTAAAAATTTTCCTTTCAAAAGAAGACCCTACATTTTTTTTTAAAAAACCAGGGATCAAACTAGGGACCTTGAACTTGTGAGGCACAGCCGAAGCACTGAGCTAAACCTCCACCCCAAAGAAGACCCTACAATTTCTCATATAAATCCTTTCTAAGATTTATCAGCTGCTGGAAGGAAAGTTCTGTAAAAATTTTAATCCAATAATTTCACGTCACACCCACAAACCCTTTTTTTCCTTATGATGAAGATAAGCAAGCCACAAAATTCTGGGTGAGGCCCTTTGTACATTTGAAATAGCTTAGTAAATCTCTCATAAACTGGATCTGAAAATCATCTTTATAGGCAACATTTTACGAGGACTTGTTGATTTTGAAGGGCCTCCTCACCCATATTGTATGTCCATATTTCTTTCGGGGGGAGATTTAGTGGACACCCACAGGCCCCAATACAGAGGATAAGTGGGCGCGTGTCCATTCCAGCACTACCCTTTCTGTATCCCATTATTGTACTGGGTTTTTATAATGTTGGAAGGTCAGCTTGATGTCCCTCTGACCTCTACATTGATTTCTGCTCTCAACCGCTCAGTCTCAGCGTGTGAGACCACCTAGCTGGTTGCTGGGGAGAATTTTCCTCACTTGATTCCACAGAGATGCAGTGTAGAGAAGCCAGCTCTTTCTCTCCTGTTCAATGCGCCTCTTGTCAAACTGATTGCTTTCTGGGAAATCATCGCTTTGCCTTACATTTTTCACATGGAGGACTCTGAGCTGTGCTTTCTAGTTAGAACTGCAGTTACTTTTTCTTTCATTTTTAGGATATTACTCTTTTGTTATCTCCTCTTGGAACATTGGGCTGGTGGCATTTCCATATTATAGACCTTTTCTCATTTCCTCGGATAGATATCAACAACACAGTTAAGGTCTTTACCCCTGAGCCAGGACATGTGTACCCTAACATGGCCACTGGTTTTGTTGATACAGGTCTGTGGGGAGGAAGGGCTACCCTTCTTCCAGTGTGCAGGTGATTTTATCCTATGATCTGGAGGCTAGGTGGTCTAGTCTATGCTATCCCTGTTTTCCTTTTCCCTTTTCTTTCCTTTTTATTATTTTTTTAATGGCAGTACCATATGGCACAGGATACGAATTCTTGCTGAAGTTGGGACATCACATTTATTTTTTTCCTGTTGTTCTGTCAGGCCAATTATTCTGTCATGTTACAACATTAGTCTGATGGCACCTGTTCTCTACAGATTACTCATTCTGATATCTTTGAGGTGTTTATGAATTTATTGTGTAATGATTTCTTTTTTTTTTTTTTTTTTTTTTTTTTTTTTTTTCTCGTACCAGGGATTGAACTCAGGTCCTTGCACCTATGAGTTAGGTGGCGGCACCACTGATCTAAATCCCTGGCCCTGTGTAATGATTTCTTTGATCATTCTCAAACATAGCTCATAAATTTGAAATATTTAAAAGTGCAGATACACTTACTCAGTTTGCCTCCTCCTTGCTTATTTAAGAAAACAGAATTATTTTAAACATAAAGAATCACATAATGAAATTGCATCACCCAGCTTAATGGCATAAAATTTTAATCCATTTGCCTATTGATACATGTAGGATTATTCTCATTACTTTTCTATCATGCAAGAATACTGTATTCTGAGCTGCACTGCTGAGAAGTGAAGT